GCTAGAAATTTTGCTTTCAAATATACGGATAGTCTACAAAGTTAAGTACACAAGGTTGTACACCTAAAGTATTGCTTGTGTTAGCCAGAGCTTGGAGACAATCTAGACATCACTGTATTAATTACATTTTCTGTTGCTGTGATAAAACATCTCACAGAGAGGGTAGAGAAATGGCTCAGCAAGTAAGGGAATTAATTTAACTGTTCTTCCTGGGGACCCAAGTTCAGTTCCAGCATGCACACTGAGCAGTTCACAACTACCTGTAACTCTAACTCCAGGTAATCTAACACTCTCTCTGGAATCCTCAGGCACCCTCACACACTTGGCATAAACCAGACAGAGACAGAGACAAAGAGAGGCGCACACATGCAAGAATGAACAATAAAAACAACAAATCTTAAAAGAATTTTTTGGGGGTCTGGTAAAAGCCACTTTGGGTTCATAGTTTGGGGGGATAAAGTCCACTGCAGTGGGGAGGACATGGCAGTAAAAGCACGGGGCAGATGTCAGTCACACCGTGTCAGGAAGCAGTGAGGTAGATGCTGGTCTCTGCTAAGTTCCTCCTTCCCTTTTACTCACTCCAGGGCCCCAGTCCCTGGGATGGAAACTCAGACGTGCTCACAGGTGTGTTTCCTAGGTGATTCCAAATCCAATCACGGTGGCCTTGAAGATGAACCAGCTCAGCCACTCTGCTCTGTAAAGAAAATACATTAAGATGGGGTGTCCTGATGAATATCTGAAATCAGAGATGTGAGCACCTAAAGGCAGATATCTCAAGTTCCAGGGCAGCCTGGACTAAGAGAGAGACCCTGGAGTGGGAGGAGGGGGGCCGATATAGAAGGGTTTCTAAGGGGCAGAATGTAGGGCACTAGTTGCTACCATATACCAAAAAGTGGCAATGTACAGGAGAAAAGAGATGTTCCTACTTGTATATGCATAAAATACACGGAAAAAAAAAAACAGGGATCTGGCTATCTGTGAGATGTTGTAACTTCAGAACAGAGACTTTGTACTGCAAGCCTTCTGTATTTTATTTAATTCAGGTGAATATGCCACTACTAAAAAACTGATAAAAATGTAAAATTCTGAAGCAATACAAGGTGCCTTAGCTTCCCAGGCTGATATTACTGAGAATTAACAGGGGCCCTCGTCATCTGTTTCATCTGTAGTGACTCCCAGCCTGTCAGTGTCCAGTGTGGTGGCACATGCCTATAGTCCCAGCGCTCAACAGGCAGAGGCAGACAGATCTCAGCCAAGGCCAGCCTGGTCTACAAAGAATTCCAGGCCTGTCAGGACTACACAGTGAGACCCTGTCTAAAAACAAAAAGAGGCCAGACATAAGGACCCCCGTTCTGTCTGCCACAGGTACCTCTGTGGGCTAACACAGACCCTGCATGTTTCTGGACTTGGGTTTTCACCGTCCATATAACAATACTTTTTCTATTCAGATGTGTTACTGATCCTTCATTCCACGGAGTGAAATGCCAAAGCTAAAAAGTACTGGGGACTGGGCACACCAAGATCCTCAATTATCCAATCCCAAAGACCCTAAATTCAGACTATGACCTCCCCCAACAAAAGCATGCTTGTACCAACACAGCAGCCTGCCAGTAATTATGCCCAGTCACAAAACCAGAGCCCAGCAAGGCCTCAATCAGCCTAAGGAAGGGTGGGCTACACAGAGTGTAAAGCCCACATACGAACTCCTCGGAGCAGACCTGATAACAAGTGGTCCTGAGCAGAAGGCTTGCTTGGCTGTCTGGCTGCCCAAGACCCTCTCCAGAAATCTACTTTCTGTTCTCTTACTGTCCACAAATCCTCCCCACCTCCCACTTTCCAGGTCAAGGTATAGCATCTTCAAGCCATTGGTTCATTCATTCTAGAACACGTGACCCTCCTTGGACACTGTAGAGAGATGCCCAGGCCTGGCCTCCAGATGACAACTAGCATCTTCTTTGTGGAATCCAGAAACAAAGGGTCCCCTGGCCTATTCAGCAAATATCTTGAGAACCATTAGGTCTCCAAGGCCACAGTCTGGCAGGTTTTCATGAAATGAAATCCCCTTCACATGGAGCAACCAGCTAGGAAGTCCAGAGATGGAAGGGCTTGCTGGTGTGTAAAGAAATTTAGTGTCTAAAAGCTAATTTAACAGACTTCTGCTTAAATGTGCAGGATCTGAACTAGTATGTGCAACAAGTGAGCTCGGAGAGGATTTAGAGGCGATGGAGAGAGGTGGACAGGGGTCATTGTGAGTGTATTAGAGTGGTGTACATGCCTGAGATCTGAGTGTGAGGCTCGAGGTCGGTTAAGTGTGGAGTTGGGTAAGGAGGGGTAAGCCCCACGGAAGCCCTCTTTTCAATGCGCTGCAGAGGCGGGCTTGCATGGAGGAGTGCTTCAGCCTTGCCGGTTTGTCTCTCCTGAGGCGGGAAAGGGAAGCAGGAACTGTTGGGGTGGGGGGCTGGAGGGGGACCGGTAAGAGGGGGGACCTGAGGGACCAGCAGCCGGGTGTGTGTCCAACCTGAACGGTGCTGGGGAAACGCAGCCTGCCCAACACAACTGCCTGCCCTGCGGAAGCCCAGCCCAGAACAGAAACGTCTTCATCAGTGACAAGCAACTTGCCATCTGCAGTCTAGATGTCGGAGCACCGGGCTGCCTCGCTGAACGACTGCTGGGTCAGTGTCTTCTAGCATAGCGTTTGCAGGCATTTCTCTAGCGGCACAAGGAGTTGGAGACTCTGGGGGCTCCTGGAAACCCCGGCCAGGCCAGAGAAACTTGGAGCTCCGCCTGGCTTAGGACGATGGCCACTGGACGTGAACACAGGCCGGAGGTCACCTAGTGGATGCACAGCTTTGTCAGAATGAACCGGCAATACGCGGTGGCCTATACAACCTCTGCAAACAGGCCTAGAGGAACAGAATCTTACCCTTGCCAGGACGTAGGGCTCTAACCAGTCTGCCTAAGGAGATGCGGGTAGGAGTGAGAAGTCAATTAAAGTTCACCCTTGCTGCTTCCTGGAGCTCCTGCAGCATCCACTTCCCTCTGAACCCTCCTGCAGACAAGCACCTTCTCCCCAGCCTCCCCCAACCCTTAGCTCTGGCTGCTCACCACCAGAGGCAGCCCAGCCAGGGGAGTGATCCCTGCAGCGCCTGCAATTCTGTTCCTCAGCCTTGCACACCGACGAGGCGCCCTTTCTCCACCTGGGATTTGGATGCTGATCCTGCAAAGGACAGCAAGAAATTAATTCCCAAGAATGCATGACTCCTATTTCCACTCAAAAAAAAAAGTTCCCAGTCCTACACCCCCAAAATACACACACACACACACACACACACACACACACAAGGCCCCTTAAAGACTGAAAAGGGAGCTTGGCAGAGGAATTCGGGAAGTGATGACACATTCAACAATGCTGTCACACCTGGCTGCTGAGGAGCTGAGCAGCGGAAATGGAGCCATTTGGGAGAAAGGGGGGAGAAGGACTCAGGGTCAGCTTGGGTGGTCAAAAAAGACAGAAAGAAAGAAAAAAGGGGGTAGCGACCAAAGCCAGATGTTTTGGTCTGGATCAATCAGACTCGTCACTCCTGCCCACAGCTGGGCATGCCTGATGTTGAGGAAGGAGACAAACACCTGCCGGCCTGCTCAGGAAGCAGTCTGGTTTTTGAATAAGTGCTGTTTGTCCCACATGTGCTCAGGGAAGTGAGAGTAACCTAGAAAAGCATCCAAGCCATTTGGGGCTATTTCCAAAAAGGCCAGAATTAGGTATCTCCCAGGAAAATTAAGAGGACTCCAACTCCCACTCACCCTGGTGGTTAGGCCAGGTTTGCCCTGTTGACCTCTCTGGAGTCATCTTTAAGATGCTGGATTACACACACACACACACACACACACACACACACACACACCTCCTTTCCCTTCATCTCAAAGTGGGAGTACACCATGTAGGTAGGTGGTCTTCCGTTTCTGTAGCCACTGGCCACTATGGGCTCTAGGGATTCTGGAGAATTCTTGAAGGCCAAGCAGCCTGAGAGAAGAAGGAAGTAAGAACAGGCAGTGAGCTAGCCACCTGGACATGCCAATCACCAATACACCTTCAGGGTGTTCATTAAGACCACCACCCTTCACAAAGTATCTGGGCCCTCTGCGCTTCCCGCCCACTGCACGGTGAAGCTTGGAGATTTGAAACACTAGCCTCTCTCACACTTCCAGACTGTGGACTTGTGTTAAGGCTGAGTTAAATGGCACACCTGATTTTGTGCTGGCACAGATTTCCTCTTTCTTGCGGGTGTAACTGAATACCCACCAGACCTCTGTTATCATCTCAAAACCTTTAGAGAAAGAACACCGAACTGCCGTCCGTCATGACTGGGATGTGAGCAAGCGCCTCCCCATGTCCGTTGCTTTTCTTTGGAGTCAATAACAGAATTACCAACGCTGGGACAGGAGGAGGCAGGTAACGATTGTGGGGGTGGAGGAGGAAAAAGATAGACAAAAGAGAAGATGCTCTATCCACGAACCATATCTAATCTGGTCCTCACCTCACTGATGAGTAGATTCAACTCTCAAACCTTGACCATAAGCATACCTGTTTTCTGAACAGCACATGTGCACAGTATTTCCTATATCACAGATCGTCCTCAATGTGACATCTGCGCACACTACTCAAAGTCCCTCAGCAACATCCTCGTCGGTGTCCAAGCCGGAGTACAAGGAACACTACTTCGTCTTTAAAACACACACCCGACTCGTGGGATTGCAAGGCGAATTCCGAGGAAAAACCTGGTTCCTATATCCACCGGCTGCACAGATGAGGGAAGTGTCGGTGCTAGCGGTACTCCTCTTCCCTGCGATCCTCTCCCCGGCCCCAGTCCGGCCCAGAGCAGGCCGAAGCTTCTGCCTACCGTGACACGAGCTCTGGGCTGGTTTACCTCCAGCTGCTGCAAAGTTCTGCCACTCCACCCTAGTCCGGCCCCCTCGCCATCTCGCCCCTCCCTTACCCTCAAGTTAGAAGTCTAGCCCCAAGCAAAGAGCAATGGGGTTGTTTTCTGTCACCTGAAAGCCGCCAGAAGGCTTGGATTACCCCTCCTCGCTGGGGACTGTGCTCCCGGGACACTGACAGGGTGCAGCTAGCCCCCATGCGGGCCTTCCGCAAAGCAAGCACCCGCAGATTTCAAGGACTCGTGAGAGCGTGAGCCGGGCTGTCGGCGGGGCCCCCTAGGCTCCCGAGGCCGGGGCAGGCCGGTCCAAGCTGTGCCGGCCGTTTAAAAAAAGAGAGACTTAAGAGATGAACTCGCCCGTGAGCTGCTGGCTGCCCGGCTATAGGGGCGAAGGCCCCTGACGCAAGCGGAACTCGGCGGAGCCCATACGAATCAGAACGGAGCAAGACTCCTGGCGCACTAGGGACTCCAGGAGGCGGCAGCGCCAGAGACGCGGGTCGCGCCTCGGGAAACCGGGCGGTGGGGGGAGGGGAAAGCTCAACCAAGAAACCCCACCGAGGCGGGGACTGGCCTGGGCGGGGAGGGGCGGCGGGGCCGGAGCCCCTCGCTGTTGGGCAGAGTCGCGATGGCCAGAGGCTGACTTCCACTCTCACCGACCGCTCCCCCGGGGGAAAGAGAAGAGAGCGAGAGAGCGGCGCGAGGCCTCCGGTTCCCGCAGCTTGCAGAAATTGGAGGCTTGGCCGCGAGCGCACTGCGCCCGCCTGCAAGGCGAGCCTGCGCCGGGAGAGCACAGCCCCGGGGCGGCCCGGCCGAGGAGCTCCGGCTTTTGTCATGATGGCCAGCTACCCGGAGCCCGAGGACGCCGCGGGGGCCCTGCTGACCCAGGAGAGCGGGCGCGCAGTCAAAGAGCCCGAGGCGCCGCCAGCGAGTCCGAGCAAGGGTGGCGGGACGGCACCCGAGAAGCCGGACCCCGCGCAGAAGCCCCCGTACTCGTACGTGGCGCTCATCGCCATGGCGATCCGCGAGAGCGCGGAGAAGAGGCTCACCCTGTCGGGCATCTACCAGTACATCATCGCCAAGTTCCCGTTCTACGAGAAGAACAAGAAGGGCTGGCAGAATAGCATCCGCCACAACCTCAGCCTCAACGAGTGCTTCATCAAGGTGCCGCGCGAGGGCGGCGGCGAGCGCAAGGGCAACTACTGGACGCTCGACCCGGCCTGCGAGGACATGTTCGAGAAGGGCAACTACCGACGCCGCCGTCGCATGAAGCGGCCCTTCCGGCCACCGCCCGCACACTTCCAGCCGGGCAAGGGGCTCTTCGGGTCCGGAGGAGCGGCGGGGGGCTGCGGCGTGGCGGGCGCCGGCGCCGATGGCTACGGCTACCTGGCGCCACCCAAGTACCTGCAATCGGGTTTCCTCAACAACTCCTGGCCCCTGCCGCAGCCGCCCTCGCCCATGCCCTACGCCTCCTGCCAGATGGCGGCGGCCGCGGCGGCAGCTGCAGCTGCCGCGGCGGCCGCCGGCCCGGGCAGCCCCGGTGCAGCCGCCGTGGTCAAGGGGCTGGCGGGGCCCGCCGCCTCCTACGGGCCGTACTCGCGCGTGCAGAGCATGGCGCTGCCACCCGGCGTCGTGAACTCCTACAACGGCCTGGGAGGCCCTCCCGCCGCGCCCCCGCCGCCGCCGCACCCCCACCCGCACCCTCACGCACACCATCTGCACGCGGCCGCCGCACCGCCGCCAGCTCCGCCACACCACGGGGCTGCGGCGCCACCCCCGGGTCAGCTCAGCCCCGCCAGCCCGGCCACCGCCGCTCCCCCGGCTCCTGCTCCCACCAGCGCGCCCGGCCTGCAGTTCGCCTGCGCCCGGCAACCCGAGCTCGCCATGATGCATTGCTCTTACTGGGACCACGACAGCAAGACGGGCGCACTGCACTCGCGCCTAGATCTCTGAGAGCCACGGCGTGCGACCGCGGCCCAGGGGTGGAGGAGACGAGCTCGGGTCGCAGCCGCAGCAGCCAGCCGGACAGCACACACTCTGGGACAGCCTTTTGAGCCAGAGCCCTCGAGCCTTCTGCGCCTCCTCGTTCCGCCCTGCTCCTGCGGCTCCGCTTTGTCGCCTCCGGTGCTCTTCCCCACCGCGGCCTTTGCGCGCCCCTGGGTCGGAGGCCGCCCCGCTCCGCGCTTTCCGCAGACATCCTCTCCTCCCGGAGTCCCGGAGTCACCACCGCAGGGAGTGTGTCCCCGGCCGAAGTGTCCGCGGCGATGACCTCTTGGCCTTCCACGTCGCGTTCGACTTTCTCCCCCCCCCCCCGGACTGCCGCGCTGTCTGCGGCTAGAAGCGCTGGGCTGCTGGGGTAGCGGGACCCACGCTGCGCTGCCGGGGAAAGGAAAGAACGCGTCTGGTTGCTCTGCGATCCCTCCTGGAACTGATCAGAAGCCGCTTGCAGAGGGGCCCACTGGGCGGGGCGGGGGTTGAGCCCCGGGCTGGAGCAGGGACAGCCTTGTTCCGCGGCCTGTAATCGGGTTCACATCCCCGTGCCTTGCGAGGCCGCGGTGCCTTCTGCTCTTCAACCCACCGCTTCAGGCACCTCCAGGCCAGCGTGGCTGGCCAGCGTCTTGCTTAAAGGATCGGTGAGATTTAATTTTTTTTTAACGATATTGAAGAATACTTTAAAAAGGGATGAAAAGAGAGAAAAAAATAAAACTTTCATCGGGAGAAACGGTGAAATGTTCTGGCCTTCGAGTTTGCTAAAAACCAAACAACAAAATCAAAAGCTTTAGTTTCTTCATCTTCCCTGCTCGGGGATTTGTGTAAAATTCCCATAGTGACTTCAGACGGCTGTATTCAGAGACGGGAGAAAATAACTAGCTAAAAGAAGGTTTCCACTACAAATCGGGAGTTTGCCTCTGTATTTTAAAAAATAAAATCAAAGCAAATTTCCCCGGATCTTCCGATTCTAGCCCGGGATGCCAGGAGTTTACTGCCCGGCTGCGCCACACTTCGGGGATGACACTTCCCTCCCTGATTTTTGTTTTTCAGATTCTTGCTTCTTTCACCTTGGGAAGGAGAAATGTGAAACCGGCCACGGCTTTTCTCCTACACGGGCTTTTGGCCCCAGCCGGCCGACCCGAAATTTCCGAGACCTGGTGGTTGAGTAATGTCTTTCGGGGACCAAATTTTCTAGAGGGAATGAGAGCACTTTTGTTGTGTTTGTATGTGCGCGCCCCTTGTCAACTCCCAAATAAATGTTTTGGTTTTTTTCTTTTAACACGGACTTAACATTGTTTCTTTTACGCCGCAGTTAGCAGCTAGCTAGCTAAAAGAGCGAGACCTTCAGCAAAACTGAGTCCTTTTAAAAAGTGACACAAACAGGGTTTGAAAGCAACCAGGGTGGCAGTCGCTTTGGGCTGTTGCTACTGCTTTGTTTTTCTGGAGATTGTTTGTTTTTCTGTGTCATCGCTCGTCTGTTGAGACTGTTTAACACCCGGCAAAGATACCGGTCCTTCTCTAGAGGCTACTGTAGGCACGGTTTGTTCTATTTTTTGCGCCCATGTAAGCTTATATTTTGCCTCTTACATAATTGTACTAGGTGTGTGCAGGGCGTTCTCATTATTATCCTCATACTTCTAAGGTTTTTTTTTTTCCCCAAGTCAAATATATAACATTTGTGGGGTTTTTTTCATATAAAATTCTGACTTCAGGAACATGCTGGAAGCTTTTCTACAATGTATTAGCTGATTTGTTGTACTGTTGTTTTTAAAAAATCGGCATTCGTTTTTCTTGAGATAAGGGTAGGAAACTTAGTGCTTTTTCCTGAAATATGCTGCAGAGATGAAGTTTTGCTTTTTCTTTACCGAGCTCATCAAATAACGAATTAAGACCCAAGTTTTCATTAAGATACAAAAGGCATTTGACCTGGTTGCAGTCTAAAGCTCTCAGGCTTATTGCAAGTGGCTGGCTTTCAGTTTTCGGCTGGGGTGACAGATATTGGATCTCTTACAGTGGCTGGGAGTTGATACAATAAGGACTAGATCCTATGCTTAGCCACACATCTTACACCTCCCTTTCTTCTACCCTTGATAAGAGACAGGTGCGGAGAAATAAGTTGGAAGCAACAGTGAGCTTGAGGAATGAATTTATTGCCACTAAGGGAAGATCTAACCTTGGAAATGTGAGGATAGTATCTAGAGTGAATGTTGCTGGGATCAAGGGGAAGTCATTCACACTCGAAATGCCTCTTCTCCCCCAAATACCTCAGAAGGAGAATTGGGGTGGTAGAGAAGATTATGTGGATTCTCAAAGGTAGAGGCTAATGCCTGTCTACCCATTGGGGACAGGCTAAAACAAGAGTCTCAGTGGCAGTAGGAAACAGGAGAGTCTGATCAGTCCTGAGGATGCTTCTGTAGCCCGATGTCTCAACTGCCTGAGTGGGGCGCGCACATCTCCACGATTTCTATTTTGAATATGTATCCTACTGATAGTACTGTGTAGTCTGTACCTGATGTAAATATGTTTATAGTGCTTTATTTAATTGTAGTAGGGTAAGAGGTGTGTATATATTCACCCGCAGAGGGAGGTGAATGACATATTTAAGACACTGTATGACTAACATTAGAGTCTGCTTATTGGACCACAGTATGTGTTGCATTCATACCTCATGCTGATGTAAGCAGTTGTGTTTCTGGCTTGCTGAACGATGACAAAGTATGTGCACCCATCACTTCATCTGGCAGAGGCTCCCTGTTCCAGAACTAGTCCTCAGCACCCCTTCAAACCGCTACCCAGAGCAGAAAACAGGGACAGCTTGCAAGGCAGGGCTCTTGGTGGACAAGTCATTGCCCACCTCCTGTGAAATGGAGAAGCTGAGCAAAGGCTGCCCTGAAGAACCTCTCAAAAGCTGCACCCAAGAACTAACCAGCAAGAGGCTTCACAGCTGGGAAGGCTTTGCCAAGTAAGGAAAATTAGATGAAGGAATTACTGGGGGTTTCCCAGAATCTACACCGTGGTTGGAGGAGGTAAGAGAAGGGAGCCACTTCCCCGGGGATGCCTCCAGAAAGACATCTGTCTCTAATTCCAGCCCTAAGGGGTTCTCCAAAGCGCTAAAATTTGGTTGTTTTCCCTAGTTGGGGACAACAGACCTTGTTCATCTCAAATTTCCTTTCTCTTCTCTCCCTCTTTGCTCTTTGGAGTTTGTTAGAGAATCTGACTCAGATAACTTCCTAAGTGAGAGCGAAGATATTTAAGAGAGTCCCTGACACAGAATGGTTATGCCTTGGAATACACTGTCTGGGTTGGAGAGCTAGCAGCCTGTACGGGTATGTTGTATATGTTTATGTTTGTAGTGTGCTCTATAAATGTGACATAAATAGAGTTTGATACAAATATCCTGCCAATTTCTGAAGGTTCTGGGTAATGAGTTGTTAAACATGGTGTGTATGTGTGTGTGTGTGAGAGAGAGAGAGAGAGAGAGAGAGAGAGAGAGAGAGGCTGTGTAAACATCCCCAAACACTGACAGAATACAGCATTTTCTCACTTTTACACCCAGATTCTTAGTTACTTTTTCCTCCCTAAAAGCCCAAAGTAATTGGATTGGTGGAGGGATAGCCAATTCTCTAATGGGACTAAGGAGACATTTTCGCCAATGCAAGAGATATAATGAGGAATTGTGGGAAGAGGGGCTAAGTAATCATTAACATAGTTCCACATTCCTCTCCAGTGTCTGGAGAGGTATTTTCTCTTGGGCATCAGTAGAGAGTTCTCAGCTCTGTACCTTTACTCGATGGGCAATATGCCCAGGATCTTTCACCTGAAGTTAGGGCAGTCAGTCTTTACATTGTCTTTTGCAAGCCAAGACTGAAAAGTCAGCCATGTAGAGCCCCCTGGTGGTGGGTAGAAATTGGGGGCAAATCCAAGCTTCATTGGAAAGTACTTTGGTGAAGGCCTGGAGCTTTCCAACTGCTGACTCAAAATCTTAGCCTTCCCCCCAAAAGGGGGTCCTAATACCAGGAAGTTATTTGGTCAAGCTCAAGATTCCCAAAGTATCCCCCACTTTATTTAAACAGCAGTTAACTATGTCCTCTTGGCTGTGGCACCACTCAGGGTAGCCCTCAGGGTAGCCCACAGAACTTGGAGGAAGGGTTGGAATCAGGAACTAAAACTTCTCTGTCATAGGATAGGATAGGCATCAGGGTCAAGGAGCTGACAGGAGCAATAGTTATGCTCTGCCTTCTGCCCTGATGATTCTTCAAACCAAGAAGGTCAATGACTGGTTATTTTTCAGACAGAGAGGATTCCAAGTGGTACCAAAAGAGTGTCTGGGTACCAGGAACCAGACTCACACAATTGACTACTTGAAGATCTGACCAAAGAAGCAGCCAGCTGCATGTCACCAGCCTCAGAAATCCTCAGAGGAGACTTGAGAGCAGGTGACACTGGCTGCCACCTGGCTCTGTGAGTCACTCAGCTCTGAGAGACAAAATGCAGCCTTGGGTATGAGTTTAGGCAGACCATTTAGCAGGAACTGTGGTTTGTGGCCCAGGATCTGGCTGGAGATGAAGTCGTGACACCTTGTTCTGAGTCATGTTACCCCAGAGAGGTGGCTCATGTAGGATGAGCCACAGTTAGGAGCCTGAACACTGGGAAGAACCCTGCTGATTCCAGACTTCAGTTCTCTCGTTTATAGAACAAATATATGACCAGTGTGACTACAACAGTTAACTATTCTGATTCAAAATTGTTTATTGTTAAGAAAGCTACCCATTTGTGGAAGAAGGGAGGAAAAGAAGGGCCATGCCTAGTAAAGGGTCCCACCAGCTGTCTTTGCCAGGCTGCCACCGGGCACCCCAGGAACCCAGAGAAATGAGCACCTACCAGGGTACAGCTAATTTTGTCTGCCTTGCTCAGTCCATTGACATCAGGGATGAGGCATGGATGGCACTGAACACTTGCTCCCTGAGGGCACAGATGATAAACTCTTGGACTCGCCCTGGAAACCTCCCTATTGCTTCTTTCAAGGCTATTTTCTCTGATAGTCGAGGTT